TGTAGCTCCAATAGAATCTGTTTTCCTCATAGCCAGTCTCACCAAGATACACATCCTTTAACGAGAGAGAGAGAGAGAGAGAGAGAGAGAAAGAGAGAGAGAAAATACTTACTGCGTTCATTTTTTTTTAAATGTTCTGCATGTGTTTCTTTAATTAAAGCACTTATTGTTGCCAGATTTGGCCCTCCTTGATCACAAACTGTAGCTATTGGCTTTAATTTGCATCTTTGCAGAGTTTCAATCCACGTCTTTACACATGTTAAAAGTTGCGTAGTATTAGTTGCACTATTGCAAAATCCATATCCAATAGGCATACGACGACCAGATGATAAACATCTAATATGAAAAAGAATGGCATGATCAGCAAATTTTCTTGTTCTGGTTGTTCCCCAATCTTCAAAACCGATGATTTTATCGTTTTTTATGTCATATGTTAAAGCAGGCTGTATAGACATTTCATCCCAACCAAGTACAATGTACTGTTCTGTCGGATCCATTTTATTTGCAGTTAATGCAAGATAGTTAAAAATATCATTATTATAGCCAGTATCGATCGAAATTTTGTGTAATTGTGTGTTTAAAGTAGTATAAGAAGGACATAATAAATATTTACATGCATAATTATTATAACAAGAACGAGATCTCATATACATTCCCAAACAAAATAACTTCTCCTCTACAGTATAGCGTCTTGCCTACAAAAATAACAAGGTGTAAAAATTTTGCAAGATGCTCCACAAAAATGTTTTTAAATTTTTGAAATATGTGACATTACATTTGAATTAAACTGTTAGATGCAAACTTCATACAAGACATAAATACTATTAATATATATTACAATTATTTACAAATCACATTTTGTATAAGAATATGTGTATAATTTATAGCAGTGTAAAAGTATTAAGTGAAACATAATGTCTATGATATATAATTTAAACACATGCAATATTAATTCAAATATAAACTTGTAAAAATTATTAAGTACAAAATTTACTTAATACTATTGCAAAAAATTTTATATACTTTAATTGAAATTAAAGTAAATAAAATATGATATGATTTATTCAAATAATATAAAAGAATATTTTTTAATGATACGTTTTGGATATTAGCTGGTAATATCAGCAACATATTATTAAATAATATTTTTTTATAATAATTTGAATAAATCAAATCATACTTTACTAGTGCAAATAATTTTACAAACTTTAGTAGAGATTAAAGTAAATAAAATATAATTCAATTTATTCAAATTATTATAAGAAAGTATTATTTAATCACATGTTTTGGAAATTACCTGTGGTAGAACACCACTATTTCTTATTATCATATTAACGAATTGTTCTCGTATATCTTTAGTTTTATCAATTTTATCACTTGATGTGCTTAATGTTATTCTGTCTGTAAGCTTTCGTTGCTTTAATCTATTTATGACTCTCTTCATGTATCTTTTCTCTTTTTGTAATTTAATTATATTTTCGTATAATTGTTTTGCTTTTGGACACAACATATTTTTTCGTGTCATTTCTTTAAGATTTGGTCTTATTCTGTGCAGTTTAAAACTTTTATTTATTTGCTTTTGAACACGATCAACTTTGTATGATATATTTTCGCAAAATTGTACTTGCGTTTGGGATAATCTGTCTAATTTTGTTTGTAATTCTGTAACATTTCTTTCATTCTGGGATAATAATTCAACATTATTTTGCAACGCAGTAATATTGTTTTGTAATGCTGCAATATTTTTTTGCTGTTTAAATATTACTTGTTCTTGATTTTCTATTTTATCTGTTATTTGAATAATCTGTTTTTCGCATGATTTTTGAATAACCTGCTCTTTGCACGGCTCCTCGCTTGGACTTTCAATAACTTCGCATAGATCTTCGCACGAATGTTGAATACCCTGTTCTTCGTATAGTTCGCATGAACTTTGAGTAACTTGTTTTTCGCATAGATGTTGAGTATCCTGTTCTTTGTATAGTTCTTCGTATGGACTTTGAGTAACCTGTTCTTCGCATAGATGTTGAGTATCTTGTTCTTTGTATAGTTCTTCGTATGGACTTTGAGTAACCTGTTCTTCGCATAGATGTTGAGTATCCTGTTCTTTGTATAGTTCTTCGTATGGACTTTGAGTAACCTGTTCTTCGCATAGATGTTGAATATCCTGTTCTTTGTATAGTTCTTCGTATGGACTTTGAGTAACCTGTTCTTTGCATAGATTCTGAGTAATCTCTTCGCATGATGATGCTTCGTTTAACATAAACGGAACAGCAAACCGACTCAATCTACGAATCTGAATTCCAGTGTAATCACTATTGTGAAAATGTTTGTAACAAACTCGTAATTTATGAATTTCAATTTCATTGTAAGCCTTCAGCGTCAAATTTTGCATCCACTTGTTACGCATTTCTGAATTCGTGGGAAACACGTGAGAAGGTGTGGAGCCCGTCGATGAACACCCACGTACACAACACACTCGCACCATACTTATATTCTTATTGACAACAATCAACAATTTATTATAACTTTATTATCCAGTTTGCCAGTTTATAACCTTGCAGCCTATTGCAGACCTTTACGTATCTATTTATTTAGCAATATGGCGGAACATTTAGTTCTCATTGCCCTGTAAGAATGTGATGGCGCTGCAAACACTGGTAAACGAAGAACAATAGGAGTTTGTAACCCCTGGCAGGGACTGGAGCTCTTCATCGTTGGCCTGTGCGTCGGCTATCTTTTCTGTGGAGATTATTATCGGCATGCTAATGGCTTGGATGCGTGAAAGAGCATCCGCGGCGGCATTCTCTATTCCAGGGAGATGCGTGATCTTCGTGGAGAACTGACCGATAAAGTCGAGATGACGTAATTGACGCGGTGACGCTTTGTCTGCTTTTTGATCAAACGTGTATGTTAACGGTTTGTGATCGGTAGCTATTATGCAATCGCGCCCTTCTAACATGTGACGGAAAAATTTGACGCCACTGTAAATCGCGTAGAGTTCGCGGTCATACGTGCTGTATTTCTTTTGCGCGTCGGATAATTTTAGAGAGTAAAATCCGAGAGGTACGCGTCTACTTCTTGTACTTGTTGTAAAGCTGCTCCAATTGCCGTGTCCGATGCGTCAGTGCATAGGATTAACGGTAATGCCTCGCTGGGATGTGCTAACAGGGATGCGTTTGAAAGTTGCTGCTTTGCTTCTTCGAAAGCGTGTTCCGCTTCGGGAGTCCAAGTGACAGGACGTCTATCTCGTTTAGTGGCTTTGCTCGTGAGTGCATGAAGAGGGGCCTGAGAGGCAGCTGCGTTTCTAATGAACCTGCGGTAAAAGTTAATTAGACCGAGAAATCTACGTAATTCTGATACCGTCTTAAGTTTTGGATAGCTTATGATTGCATCGACCTTGTCTTTAAGTGTGGTTATTCCGTCTTTGTTAATTAAATGCCCGAGAGATACCGAACCTCTGGTGAACCGAATAGACATTTTTCGAGGTTGATATATAACCCGTGCTCTTGAAGTCTCTTGAAAACTTCGCGTAGATGAGCTGCATGCTGCTGTTGCGTTTCTGACGCTATTAAAATGTCGTCGATGTAACAGAAGGCGTAGTCTAATCCTCGTAGGACAGTGTCCATCAGTCTCTGAAATGTCTGCGCAGCATTGCACAAACCGAAGGTCATTCGCTTGAACTGAAAAAGACCAAAAGGTGTTATAATTGCAGTCTTTTGTTGATCTTCCGGCGCTATCGGAATTTGATGGAAAGCTCTGGATAAATCCAGTGTAGTAAAGATTGTGCATCCTCGTAGGCGGTGTGCGAAGTCGTGTATGTGCGGAATTGGATATTTATCGGAGGTTGTTACTCTGTTTAGACGGCGGTAGTCGCCGCAGGGCCTCCATCCGCCGTTCTTTTTGCGCACCATATGAAGCGGGCTAGCCCAAGGGCTGGAAGATGGTTCGCAGATGCCTTCAGCCATCAAGTGTTCGAACTCGGCGCGTGTTGCTTTGGCACGGATTGGTGAAAGACAGCGAGCTCTTTCGGCTACTGGCGGGCCTTGAGTGGCGATGTAGTGCTGCACTGGGTGTTTGGGCTCCTGTGCCTTTGTTCGACGAGTGACGCTGCTGAATTCTTGTAACAGGTTCTTGTACGGACTGTTATTATTGATTGTAGACAGTGATGGAGTCCGGCAGTAGGTTAGACCTCCGTTAGCTTTGAGCTTCGTTGTTCCATCGATGAGACGACGGTCGTGTAGGTCAACTAGCAAGTTGTGTTGACTGAGGAAATCCGCTCCCAGTATCGCCTGTTAAACGTCTGCTACTAGAAATTCCCAGGTGAAAGGTCTGCGTAGCGACAAGTCTAGAGTGAGGCTTTTTGTGCCGTACGTGTTGATTGATGTACCGTTGGCTGCAAAAATTTTAAAATTTGTAGGATTTGCGAGTTTAATTTGACCTCTCTTGGGCAAGACGGAGACATCTGCACCGGTGTCAATCAGAAACCTCGTTCCTGAATTTCGATCCAGGATGGCGAGACGATTTCTGGCGTTTGCAGGGCCCGAGGACGCCTCTACCCGCGGGGCCTGATTTAGTTTTCCTGTTTCTCTTGCGTCTTAGGCCATCCACAAGGTTCTTGGCAGTTGCGAGCTTCCGTGCCGAATCTTCTGTGGAAGTAGCAGGGACGGCTAGCGGGATTCTTGGCAGTTTGAGCAGGTAAGCGATTGGCGAGCTGTCGTCCTCGGCTTTTAGACTGTGCTCGGCGAGGGTGTGATTTTTGCTCGAATTTCCTTGCGAGAGCCTCGACCTGTAATGTTAGCGTCTCTATAGCCTTTGCTTGTGCGGACTCACCTTCTGATTTGTGCTTTATGTCTGGCGTGACACCCGTGGCACTGATGGCTAGAATGGGCGGTTTGATTATGTCCATCGCCTTGTCCGCTATCTCCGCTAGAGATGCTACGTCCTGCGCGCCTGTGATTGCCAAGATTGTGCGCACTTGATCAGGAAGCTGTTCTAGGAACAGGGATCCTAGCACAGGCTCGCTGCATTGCCCTGTAGTTAAGCTTTTAAGTCGGTAAAGGTAAGCCGTAGGTTTTTCGCCTATTTCGTTGCCTCGGAGAAGGCGTCGAAGTCTCCTTTCATCTCCCTTGTCATACGCTGTGGTTATTCTCTTCTTGATAGTTTCGTATTTATTTTCTCGCGGAGGTGAAAGAATGATGTCTGAAACGCTGTCTAATACGTCTCCGGAAAGCTGAGCGGCTAGCTGACGAAACTTAGTCGTGTCTGATGTAATATTATGATTCGCAAACGCTAACTCGATTTGCGCAAACCATAAACGCGGATTTTGCTTATAGAATGGTGGCAGCGTTATTTGACGAGACTTGATTACCGCTATATCTTGAATAAGAGGTTCGTTGTCCTGCTGATCGCCTGTAGTCGTCGTGGAACCGTCTCTTGGCGGATCACGTGGCGGAGAATGATCGACCGGCATCTTCTATATTAGTCTTCTATATTACGTTTTGCACGTGCACGCGTGTTTATCACGTCGGGGTCACCAATTATGTGGCCTACTGAGCCACCATTTATGTTATATATGAGTCAAAGGTCAACGTAGAATCAATACAGAGTTAGTTAACGTAATACAGAGATATAGACTTCTTTTATTAGGGAATGGTTACAGATTGATTACGTAAGAAAGGAACTTGTTGCATCATGTTGCTTAACGGAATAATACTGAGAACTTAAACTTAAACTTAGAAAATTACTGAGATCGAAAACTGACTCTTTTACGGGAGTGAGTCCGTGCGTTCTCATTGGCTAAGACTTTGGACAAGAGCGCTGTAGGAGAGAGTCTCTATATAGTTCCTTCTACTTCGCGCCATCTATGTCATATTCGTTGTTCTCAATAGCTTAGACGTTTGTATATAACTGACGTTGAAAAGTTGTAATAAATAAATCAGTAAGATGTCTAAGTCAAAGAGAAGAAGACGCTCAAGATTGAGATCAAGAGAAGGATCGAGGGATAATGGAAAAAAGCAGAAGGTTATTGATAAAAGACTGCAAAAGATGCAGGACCAATTGGATAATCTCATTATCGCTGTTACGACTTTGGTACAAAGGCAAAAAGCGCATACCGTCCCGAACCAGTCGAATACACAAAAAATCCGGAAAAAAGCACTGATAGGCTCAGTTTTTTGTTCTGTTATAGTTTCCATACGAAACTCACAACAATAAAGCGGAAATTTACTCAAGGATTCCATACGAATCCTTGAGTGTCGGATTCCATACGAAGACGACAAAGGTTAAATTGTAAGAGACGTTCCATATGAGTAACCTATACGTAAACCGTTCGATGGTGAATACTTATACATATGTATTCACATATATATATATTTTAGAGGGGAGCAATTTCTGTTGACCCCCTGACCTCCTGTTGTTCATGTATTTTCGGAAAGGGCATAAAAAATTGAATTTTGGTGACAAGCAAAAATTTTTCAATAAATATCTACTCTTCTTAAAAAATCGAAAAACATCTTTTTTTCATTTTTATTTTATTTTAATTAATTATCGGTTTATTATGGTATATATAACAATTGTTTTTTAAAAATAATTTATTGTTGAAAATTTTTTTTTGTTTCAGTTCTCGGCTTTTTAAGCCGAGATTCGATTATAGAAAATGCCATTCCATCGCGTTTGCTTGGAGACATACGATGTGCTGTCTTGATGACAATTTTAATGTGACGCTCCGTTGTCTTTATATGACAGGGTATTTCCAAATCTTTAAGGCGATGCCGGAAGGTCGGAAAAATTTGCACGAAGTCGATAAAGTAGATTCTTCAGTGCCAGTGGTATTTCTAAATTAACTTCTTACAATATCTTTTGGTCTCACTCAAACACGTGGAATGTCCTTATCTAACTAATTGAAGTGCCATCTCTTGAAAAATCTGGCACTTACTGCCAGACGCAATTTTTGCTGTCTTTACTTTAGCCGAGGGTACGAATTACCACAAATTGCATTCTAATAAATAATTTTTTTTCTATGCTTTCAATCGTAGCTCAAAACATCTTGTATTATTCGTGCAAGTAATCTGATGCGCGCTAGGTACTTTTTTTTGTACATATGAGTTGCAGAACTTTTGTACCAATAAAATGTTTTACGTCAGATGACAGGTTATGATACTTCAAAAAAGGTAATTTTTGAATACATATTTTTTCATTTTTACTACTCATATATACCTAGTGCGATGGTTTTATGTCTATTTCAATCCTGTAAAAGCGTTTTTAAATCCGTTCAGTCGTTTCGGAGTTATCCATTAGAATGTAAATGTCGGTATTCCAGCATCGCCTTAATTGCAGCATCTGCGAACATGTCTCCTCGGATTTCGTCGTCTGATATTAATCGCGAAAAAGCAGGTTCGATCAAATTTACGTTTTCACCGTACGATTACCGTGTAAATTTTGATTGCAACGGCTATATAGACATAATCGACTGGGAAAATATAAATTTGACCGAACCTGTTTTTTCGCGATCAACGTCAGACGATGAAATCCGAGAATACATGTTCGCAGATGCTGCAATTAAATTAAGATTTGGAAATACCCTGTCATATAAAAACAACGGAGCGTCACATTAAAATTGTCACCGAGACAGCACATCGTGTGTCCCCAAGCAAACGCGATGGAATGGCATTTTCTATAATCGAATCTTGGCTTAAAAGGCCGAGAACTAAAACAAAAAAAGATTTTCAACAATAAATTATTTTTAAAAAACAATTGTTATGTATACCATAATAAACCGATGATTAATTAAAATAAAATTTAAAAAAAAAAGATGTTTTTCAATCTTTTAGGAGGAATAGATATTTATTAAAAAATTTCTGCTTGTCACCAAAATTCATTATTTTTTATGCCCTTTTCGAAAATACATGAACAACAGGGGGTCAGAAATCGCT